CGGTAATTAACATTGCCTGGAGTAACCTTCTACAGCAAGATATAAATCAACTAAAGCGCTAACCAAATAGATCTGCATGGATTATTACACGTTGCTCTCGCTCATCTGAAGCAATAGAGCAGCTGCAATGGCCGACTCTTTCCAGTAGACGCTATTATCACAAGGTTAAACTCGTTTTTCTCTGTCTTCACTCATTAGTTCCTAGTTACTTTTCATCATATTTTACCAGATTTTCGAATGTTTACAATTACTTCACAAGGCAAAGTATGAGGCTATCCCTGCCAAAAGTAAAACAAAATTTTGGGAAAAGGACCTTTCTTTTTACTGGCGCAGAAATTTTTAATAAACTCTCTTTAAACATTGTGAAGAGTGAAAACATTCAAACGTTCTGCCGCCGAGCAAGACATTTCTTTTTATCTAAACTTTGATATTTTATCTACTATTCTAGGTCTTAATTGTGTTTTGGCTTTTTAGTCTTAGGCTGTTAATGTTGTTTTAAAATTCTAGTCATGTATATATATCATTGAGAATTTCGACGTAAATTATTTTTAAGAAACAGGGCCCCTATGGATATCAGCCTTAGAGCTGAATGGGCTACCCTGTGTGAATAAAGTTTCACTTTACTTACTTCACTGGTAATTAAGCCTAGAGGCAAATAGGTCGATCTGAGGCTCAAAGTTAATTTTCTTAACAGCCTCGTGGAAAATTCCTCTATCCAGGGTCCATTCAGTTTCTTTTCTAGATTTTCTGGACTCTGTATCAGCTAGAGTATTCTCTTTTCCTGGGATATGACGTGTGGTTAACCACTTGTTATTGTCCAGGCACCATTCCCAGAGCGTACGGGTTAAATCATTTCGCTTTTCGGAATGGCTTGTGCCCATTTTACCTAAATCTGGCATAGCAGTCATATTATCAATTCGCACAAGGACACGCTAACTTGATAACTCTTTATAAAATGCCTTGAGAGAAAACAACACTCAAGCATTTCACGATAATTAATGTGATTACAAGCCTCTTTAGGGGTCCAATGCCCCCCAATCTTTACATTATCAAGTACTCCTCCCCAGCCTTCTTTACTTGCATCTGTGTATAAGTGACCTCTGGCTGTTGCAGGCTATAGGGTTATGCAGTGACCTTGTTGAGTTTATCCACCATTTACCATTTGTAAAACGGTATTAAGTGGGTTCCTTTTAAAATGGTGATATTGCACAGGAGTGTTTAAACACTTGAGATTTAAGATTACTCTGAAAGAGCCATCCTTTTTGGCCCTAGTGAAAACAGAAGAGATATATTCCCCTTCTTCGTGACTTCTTGGGGTAATAACACCTTTAGAAAGTAGTTTATCTATTTCTGTATCAATGACATGTTGTTCGTCCAAATCAAGGATTTTCTTCTTTTTGGGGACTACTCTTTGATGTGGAGTCCTTGTAAATTCAATTGGCTGGCCCAATATCATTCGCAATATCTCAGGGTCTGAGGCTAAGGCCTGCCACTGATAGTAATATTCTCTCAGTCCCCCTGCCTTAAAGCAGTGAACTTTATGCTCAAGGAACTGCAATATATTTACCCTGTCTGCCGGGATATCAGAGCATTTCACTGGCTGGATTTCTTGTCATTTTCCTGTGATTTGTTGGAATTGTTGTTGTGTGGCTGGTTATACCGGCCCCTCTTCACTGAAAGAGGCTTTCCACTAGAGTGAGAAGATTTGCCCATCGCTATGGTTTCAGTAAGATGACTTTGCAGTAATCGTATGGCCAAGTTTGTTAGCTGCTTTGGTATTGTTAAGCTGAGATTACAGATTGTTGCCAAACAATAAGCCGTGATGGGTACTTGAGAGCCACACAACAAGGAATACTTATTGTTTAAGTTTGGTTCGATAGCGTCTCGTTGACGGTAAGACAGCTCAATGTTTAGGTGGCCTAACAATGCCTAAGCATCAGCGTTATATGTTACTATTTTCCCCAGTTTCTCAGCGAGAGCCAACGCTGAAGTCTTCTCAGGATCTGTACGGATAGCCAGCAGTGTGTCAGTCGATCTGGCAACTGAACTACCGACTTTGACATGTACTTTCTGCATGTTTGCACGACGTAAATCCACGCTTCTGGTCACATGCTTCAGCTTATTCCATATCTCGGGGTTGACCTTTGGCAAAGTCAATTTCTTGCAATTATCAGGTCGATTGAATTTCACAAATTTTTTCTTTTAATTTGGCTTCCTCTAACTTAGAACCCCATCGCTTATTGACAATATCCGCCAGTTTCTGAGCAACTTTCGGGTCAGTTGGCTCATCGGAATCAAAGTCTTGAGCAATTTTATTGAGTAATGCATCCTCTGTGACAAAGCTTCCCAGTTTTGGTGGGTCACCTTTTGGGCAGGAAATTAAGTCCCTTGGAATCTGACTTCTCAGGGTCTGAATCTCGACCATTGCTCATTGCATTAGTTGCAGGAGATTTGCTCCTCCTTTTCGGTGGTGTAGCATGGTCTTCTGGTGCCCCAGCTAGCCGTTTCATTGCGTTTTCCATGGACAGCATGGTGGAACTCGTTTGGGTCAGGGCCGACAGTACATCAGCAAGCACTTTGTCTCTGCCCTGGTGCGAAGAATTCGCTGTCTTGTTCTCTTCAGAAAGTAAATTTTCTTTCACCGGTGAAAGGGGGTCCCTTTCACTCATATTTTGGCAGTCATCCAGCGACTTTCTCAGTGTTCACTCAACACTGAGTGAATGAAACAACAAACGTCGGACCTTCCCAAAAGGATCGCAGGGCTCATGTGCTTTCTCACGTGACTCCGTAGTGACCAGTGACCAATGACGAAACAGAATCTGATGCACTCTCATTCACAGACTTTGCCATAATACTAACATTATGAGAAAGCTTGAAATCTGCACCGTATCTCAGAAAGCTAGAACCACAAGACAGCAGAAACACTGGTTAGAGCATGCTCATTAAAACTGAATTGTAAGGAGCATGCTCTGTATGGGATAATCCACAGGCCATAAGCAGAACCAGAAAAGAGAATTAACTTTTAATTGAGCCTGATTAAGATAAATTTATCAGTACTGACAAAGTTAATTATCAAAAGTTCCTAAATAAATAAAAAAATTCCCTTATTCTTCCTGGTGTAGAAAAAAAGTTTCATAGAGTATGTCTGTAACAAAAACTGTGTAATGTCCGCAGCAACATGTTTTACCTCGGGCTCAAAATCTAACTACACAATAAGGGATGTAACTAGATTTTAAAACACGAAGACGGAGCTTTGTTCCTGTTATCAGTAAATGATATTTGTCAGAAGGGTCAATTCACAGGGAAAAAAGTGTCAAGTGAACACATAAAACTGTTGGTTGCTTTTTTTGTAATGTCGGTAAGAGTTCAAAACAAAAATATTGGTGCCTTTGTTGAAGAAAGGAAAGTTTCTTCTCTGCTGATAGTCAAATACCCTGTAAGGAATGATGGTACAAATTATGAATTGAAAAAAAAACTGTGCAAAATAAGTTTGTTAAGGAAATAAGTTTCCAAAAAATTGGTTTCTGAATGTAATGTCCATAACATGAAATTGCCCTTATTATGCCGAGCCAAATGTAGCAATATTCAATTTGCGATTTGCTTACTTCTATTCAATTTAATCCTCAATTTTCATTCAATTCAATGTGAAATCCTTAAATGTAATAATTCATTTTTATTCAATTTACTTCGCAATCATTCAATTTAATAATTGATTATTTATTTATTAAAAGTCATTCAGTCCGAACACTGATACTTATTCAGTTCAATCCTTCCATATTTGTTTAATTTAAAATTTAGATATTTTTTAATTTGGTCACTGATATCTATTAAATTCATTCCACCGCATTTTATTCAGTTTAAACGACATGAATTCATTCAATCCAATCATCCCATGTTCGTTCAATATTCACACTAATTAATTTAATCTCAGGGACTGGGACGAGTAAAAACAAAGCGTGGTACTGGGTAACACTCTTCCCGCAAAAAAGATGGCAGAATGGGAAGACATGATGACAAATGTTCAATTGTTCTGATATCTGGTGATAGGCAGGTCTAAGAAAACTTGAAAACAGTTTTAAAAATGCTTTTCGCCAGTGTTGCTTCGCTCATTCTGATGTTATATTTGAGTGTCTTAAAATTTACACATGACAAAACATCGAAATCAATATAACCTTTCGGGCACTTAAAGACAAAACAAAGATTCAATATCTCTGTTGGTCAAGAGTGAAGCCCAAGGTAGACAACAGGCTCACATTCCGCCTGAGGTACTTGAAGAGTTGAGAGGGCTGGTATTTACATAGCAAAAGATTGCTAGTATATTTAGAGTGTCCCACTGGACAATTATGCTTCAAGTTCGTTTATTTGAACTTGAAAATCGATAATATGATTCATGACTAAATTTCACGCCATGGGTCAACTATGGGAGAATCCTACCTCATAGACGGGTTCATGCTCTTAGTTGCATCATGGGTGATCAGGGCAAACCAAAATAATATGGTGGACACGGTTTATTGCGTCTATTGTTGTAGCACTTGATCTTTGCCTTTGATAGCGTCCTTTCTCAATTACTTTGCTTTCCGATTACAAATTTTAAAATAAGACATATCGCTCGTCTAGAAACCCTAAAAAAAAGACCAGAGGCCGGAAGATTTCGTCGAGAATAATGCCACATTATCGCTGTTGTGTTGGCAGTTGCGATAATGATAATCAGTACCCTGAGAAGATCGTAAAATGTAGGCACGTTGAAGGAGAACTACGAGTGGACACAACAGATATCGAAGGGTTTGAAGGACTTTGTACCCAGTAATAACAAGGTTGTTTGTTCAAACCATTTTCAGTATAGGAAACCAGCGTTTGCCTTATCAAAACCGACATTGTACCATGTTCAAAGTGACCAAAGAAAGTCTTCTCCAAGGAAGCGAAGAATTAGAAACAAAGAAGCAGCTACAGCCTCTCAAGTCAAGGTACCAAACATCCAAGAGGTTAGAATACAGTGCACGATGACGAATCCTCTTGCTTACAGTTCACTGACATTTGCAGTCCTATCAAGTAACCATGATGTCAGCATGTTTATTGGACTGCCATCTGCTAGTGCTTTTGAGTGCGTCTTTTCATTTTTACTAAAGAAGGCGTCTATAATGCACTACTGGAAAGGTTCTAAAGATGCTAAAAAAGACACTTCGTCCCCTCATGTAAACAGCCAGCAAAGAGCTTTGACTCTAAAGCAACAGTTTTTGCTTTCCATGATGAAACTGAAAATGGGACTCTTTCTATTTGACCTGGCATTTAGATTTGGTGTCTGTGAAAGCACAGCCAGCTCAGCGTTCACCACATGGGTCAAGCTGATGGCCAAAGAACTCGATTGGCTGATTTCATGGTCAGACAGAAAAATAATTCAGAGGGACCTGTCATCCATGTTTAGAAAGTATTATCTTAAATATCGTGTCATCATTGACTGTACAGAATTGTTTGTTGAAACCCCATCAAGTTTAGAAGTTGCAGCGATGTACTGGTCAAACTATAAACAACACTATACAGCCAATTTTTTAATTGGCATTACCCCAAATGGTCATATTTCATTTGTATCTGAAACTTATGGGGGCAGGGCCAGTGATGTTTTCATAGCAGAGAACAGCAAATTCTGTAACAAGCTGCAGCCTAATGACCAAGTGATGGCAGATCATGGCTTTAAGATCAATAACCTACGTGCTTTTCATCAGTGTTCACTGAAAATACCACCAAGCAAACATGGAAACTTGCAGATGTCAGCATCAGATGTCCAGGAAACTTCTATCATTGCAAATGTTAGAATTTATGTTGGGCAAGCAATCAAAAGCATAAAAGATTTTTACATCCTAAAGAAAGAACTACCTGCTAGCTTGTTGCCATTACTAGATGACATTGTAGTTGTGTTTTCTGCTTTCTGTAACCTGAAAAAATATTTGACCCAAGACATATAGGGAACTGAAAACAGAGAAATTGGTTTGGTGATAGGTTCAATGGTGAATTAACTTTAAAAAACAGTTTTTATTGAACAGAAATGAATTGTATTACACGATATAATATATGATAGTACAAAATACATGCATTGTTTATACAAAGAACATGCTTTGTAGTGTTGAAGTTTGAATCTATTCTCAGGTTAAACCAGGATTTCCTTTGTCTCCTAACCCTGGTTATGAATTAGTGAATTGTTTAGAAGACAAAAGAAATTCTGAATCAAACTAGGTTGAATACTGGTTAGACCTGAATGAATACTTGTAAAAATAACACCTATAAAAATTTAATTTGCAAATACTCTGTTTCATGTTTTCGTCTAAGTATTCTGTAACTATAATTTTGGTATTGTAATATATCTCTTGTTTGTAAATTGCTTCAAACAGAGCCCCATTTAAACCATCTGCTGAACTAAGCACTTCTGTCTAGATACTGTTATAAATAAATAAAAATTCTTTGTTACCACAGGATTTTTTACATTAGCAGTTACTGTATTCATGGAAGTTTTGAAACATACCAAAGAAACAGAAAACTTTCTCCCACCCTGAGATCTTCCAATAACAAGTTATTTTGTGCACAAAGGTATACCTTCTGTACAATGACCTAAAATCAAGTGATTCGGTTACTTTAATTTTGTGCAGTATGGATATCACTTTTGGCATTTGGGACAAATACATTTTTTTTTCTAAAATTTCAACTTTAATATTTTTTTCTCGGCAAATAATTTGAATTACCTCACAATACTAGGTCACTGCATTGATCAATATATAAATATGCAAAAAATATTTCCCAGTCAGCTCTGTTTAATATTTCCAAAAAATCTAAGCATGTCATCTAATGCTAGCATGGAGCACGACTGAAAGACAAAACCTGCATGTAGATTCACTGCAGAACCAGTACAAGCCCAATGACACCACAATGAACATGATTGACACTGGACGCTGTTTTCTTCCTCATCATCAAATTCCTCGGGTTCAAGGCATGGTTTAGAACAGAAGAAACAATAGCAAATGGGCCTGAAATGAAGCAAAACTCTCTGCACGTACGATTTAAAAAACACAATCAGTATAGAAAGAATGTCTCGCCAAAACACATTGTCAAACACAATGACCTCTATATGGGGTTTCCCTTTGCAAGTCCAAACAACAAAAAAGGTTATTTTATAGCCACAGATTCCCATTTGACTTTTCACCTTAAAGTGATATTTATGTGATCTTTTGAGGCGCAGTTTTTCATCAATCTCAAGAAAATCAGTTTTCTCCCATCCTTCTTCAATGGTTAAATCCTTTGTCGAGTAGGGGCATTTATACTCTGTGCAAGAGGACCCACAGCATGAACAAGTAAAAACATTGTATGGGGTAGCACCCAAATAAGGGTGTCCTTTGCAAAAAAAAAAGACCACATGCATGCATTTTAGGGTTGGCATGTTGCTTGCCTTCTTCATTGAAAAATGCGGCACCTGCATCTTTTTCATGCAGGCGACCCCACTTTATTGCTGGAATATTGCTGAGGTCTGTGGGTTCGAAAAACCTCGCAGGCAACGGTGTTACTTTGGTTTTCACCTCTTTCCCTCATTCTAAGTAATTTCTCTACTTTTGCATATACATCATGAAAGTTTGAAGCAGTGATTCTTTCCTTTCTCTGCTCTTTCCACAAGTTTTGACTTAACTGGTTCCTTGCTGCCTTCTCAAGCTCCTCAATGTTGCTGTCATTGAATGGAAGTTTTTCCGAAAACAATCTTGCTAGCTCCTCTTCACTTAAATTAGGGTTCTTTTCTAAGATGTCATAGGCAATTTCTTGAAGAGTTGGTGGCACATCCTCTTCTACTGGTGGGGACAATGAGATATTTAGCACAGCTTCAGGTATATGCTGTCGGGTAGAGCACAGAAATGCTTGTTTGTCTTCATCTGATATGTGTGATGCTGGTCAAGGGTCAAAATCCTACTGCGTGCAATCATTCAGTGAAAATTTGGGGTTTAGGTTTTGTCTTTTGTGGGCTTGTATGTCCATGTCCTTAATCTTCCCAAGCTGGATGTCCCTGCTTGATTTGTTCCACACACAGGCTGGATCTGTACAATCCAGGCCTATGTATCCTTGTTGGTTGGCAAATTCTACCTTATACAAAACTGCAATAACATGATTACAACATTTACTGTATCCCGCTGTAAAGCTACAGTAACTGCAAAGAACTTCGCCTGAAGGCTTACGGATAATCCAGACCTTGTGTGGAGGCTCCCTAAGGCGTTGAGAAGCGGTTACACTAGCAAAGAGCAGAATAATACCTTTTGGGACAGACTTTGTAAATACTTCATGGACAAAACCACTCTTAAAATATGAGTAAGTTTTCTGACCTTATACTGGCCAACATACTCAGTAGAAAATGCCTTCATTTCTAAAATGTAGCTCAATATTTGTCCAATATACTTCTTTGGTCATCTCATCAGTTCTTCTTCCCAGTCATTCATATCCAAAGGATCTTTCGGCAAGTCATATTTCTTTAAAAGCTCCTCGTGTTGGTGCCTCAAGCCTTTGGATAGGTCTCCAGCTGACTGTTTTACAGGTAATTGTAACCAGAGCTCAAAAGTAACCAGAGCTCGAGCAGCTAGGTCGGAGTGTGTTCCAGATGATGGCAAAGCTCTTTGCTGCAAATGAAACTTCAGTTCTCCATGTGACAACTCCAGGAAATCTTCGAGATGCTTGGCAGTCGCCGACCGACTTTATTGCCAGTTACTCTCGACGAAATCTTCCAGTTTCCGGTCTTTTTCAGCGTTTCTAGACGAGCGATATGTCTTATTTTGAAATCTGTAATCGGAAAGCAAAGCAATTGAGAAAGGACGCGATCAAAGGCAAAGATCAAGCGCTACAACAATAGATGCAATAACATCGCCCAGAATGCTATTGTCTTTCGCGACATGTACTTGCAGTGCCCATTTAATCAGCGGGCAGCATAATAATTTGCATATCCTGAACTAGTCGGTTGAGATTGGTCAGCAGGTAAAGCTTTGGGAATACATGAGTCTCTTTGCAGATTTCAGCTGCTGTCAATCAAACGGTTGGATGCTTAAAGTAAATCCCAAGGTGACATAAAGTGAACAATAGCAATAATTAACAATAGCCACGCTCTTAAGAAAGCGTTTAGCAAATTCGTTTGCAGCGAATTCTTATAAGGACTGACAGACTCCCGTTGGTCAAAATGTTATCGGAATTATAAAAATTAGTAT